GCTGAGGCGTCTGGTGAGCAGTCTCCCTGGGGCGGCCGTCTCCGTAGTCGCTCCGCTGGTACCTCGCCGCTGCACTCTTGTCGTCGACTCCCTCTCTCCCCACAGCAGCTGCGTGAGTGGTACGCTGACCGTCAGGGTCGCACTGCTGGAGCTAGGGGCCCTGCTGTGGGAGGCGCTGGAGCTGGTGACTCTGCTACTGGAGTTGTTTCAGCTGAGGGTGCTGGAGCTGGAGGCTTTGGGGCTGCTGAGGGTGCTGGCGCTGGAGGTTCTGGAGCTGCTGCGGGTGCTGGCGCTAGAGGTTCTGGAGCTGCTGCGGGTGCTGGCGCTGAGGGTTCTGAGTCTGCTGTTGTGCGGTCTCCTTGGAGTAGCCGCTTTCGTCCGCGTGTGCCTCTCACCTCACAGCAGCTGCACGAGTGGTACGGTCGCCCTCAGGGTCGTGCTTCTGGAGCTCGGGGCTCTGCCGCTAGAGGTACTTCTGCTGGCGTCACTGGAGCTGGGAGTGGTGCTGGTCCCGGAGGTGCTCGTACTGGAGGTACTGGAGCTGCTGGGGCTGGAGGTGCTGAGCCTGAGGGTGCTGCTGCTGGAGGTACTGGGTTTGGAGGTGCTGCTGTTGGAGACACTGAGGCTGGAGTCCCTGGGACTGGAGGTGCCGGTGCTGAGGGTGCTGCTGCTGGTGGAGCTGGTCCTGGAGGAGCTGGCGCAGAGGGTGCTGGAGCTGCTGGGGGTACTGGAGCTGCTGGTGCTGGTGGCACTGCACAGCCGCGCCTGTTCTTTGCTCCTCCGTCTCCGTCGTCTCAACCACCGCCTGACTCTGTGCTTCGCCAGGTTCTTAGTCTCCCTTCGTCTACTGGTCTTCCGTTACAGCCTGGCTCACCACTGCCTGCTCCTTCTCCTTACATTGAGCGGACAAGGGGTCTTACTGAGCGTCGTGCGCCAGCGTCGCGTCCTGTCTCGCCTGTCAGTCCTGGTCGTTCCGGTCGTCGTGTTCCTCGTTCGCGTCTGCCGGTTGTCTCCGGCACCCACCTCGTCGTCCGTCGTCCTTCCTCTCCTCCGCAGCGTGTTCCCCTGCCGTCCCCTCCTGCGTCTTCTCTGCCTACCGTTCCTGAGCCTGAGTCTGACCGCACCTGTGCTGCTCACTCTACTGTCACGCGTCTGCTAGCCACAGTTGTCACTGACCCGTCGTTTGAGTTTGCTGCTGCCTCTACCTTTGTCGCTGAGCTTGTTGACTTTGCTGCTGCCTGTCGTCTAGACTACGCCGCTAGTCTTGTTGCTGAGTCTGAGTCTGTCTGTCCTCCGTCCGTCGGGGGTGAGTGTGCTCTTGGCACGGACGTCCTTGAGGACAGGCAGGAGGACCTCGAGTGTCTTGCAGCCGCTGCGCCTCATCTCGTGTCCATGCTGCTTGCCCCTGAGGGAGACCCGGATGCTCCAGACATCCCGACCCCGCGCTCTTACGCTGAGGCGATCGCGGGTGAGTACTCCTCTCAGTGGCAGACAGCCATGGACGCAGAGATGGCATCCTGGAAGTCCACAGGCACTTACGTCGACGAGGTTCCCCCTCCTGGGGCGAACATCGTCAGTGGCATGTGGATTTTCAGGGTGAAGCGGCCGCCAGGTTCTCCGCCTGTCTAAAAGGCTCGTTACGTTGCACGAGGTTTCAGTCAGCGAGAGGGAGTAGACTTCTTTCAGACCTTCTCCCCCACCCTGAAGATGACCACTCTTCGGGTACTGCTGCACGTTGCCGCTCAGCGTGACTACGAGCTTCACTCTCTTGACTTCAGCACAGCTTTCTTGCAGGGCAGTCTGCACGAGGAGATCTGGCTGCGCCGCCCTCCTGGCTTCACTGGGCCGTTCCCTTCTGATACCCAGTGGAGCCTCCGGCGGCGGGTCTACGGTCTCCGCCAGGCGCCACGTGAGTGGCACGACACACTGAGGACTACACTTTCTGCTCTTGGGTTTGCTCCGTCGACTGCTGACCCGTCGCTGTTTCTGCGCACCGACACTTCGCTGCCGCCGTTCTACATCCTCGTGTACGTCGACGACTTGGTCTTTGCCACTGCTGACACTGAGGCTCTCGCTCTGGTGAAGTCGGAGCTGCAGAAGAGACACACGTGCACAGACCTGGGTGAGCTGCGCAGTTACCTTGGCTTGCAGATCACCCGGGACAGAGCACGCCGCACCATCACACTGACTCAGTCACACATGGTGCAGCAGGTCCTTCAGCGCTTCGGCTTCACCTGGTCCTCAGCACAGGCCACTCCTCTGGCTACAGGTCACTCGCTCTCAGCTCCACCTTCGGACGAGTCCGTAGAGCCGAGTGGTCCTTACCCAGAGCTAGTGGGCTGCCTCATGTACCTGATGACCGACACTCGTCCTGACCTTGCGTACCCTCTTGGCCTTCTGGCTCGCTACGTGGCTCCTGGTCGGCACCGAAAGGTGCACATGGATGCTACTAAGAGGGTACTACGCTACTTGTGCAGTACATCGGGCATGGGGCTCGTGCTTGGAGGGCGGAGCGCAGTTGTCCTCACTGGGCACTCAGACGCTTCTTGGGTTGACTACCAGGCTACGCAGCGGTCTTCACAGGGTTACACCTTCAGCCTTGGCTCTGGCTCTGTTTCTTGGCGTTCTACACGCTCGTCTTCAGTTCTCAGCTCCAGTTGTGAGGCTGAGATCTACGCCACAGCCATGGCTGCACAGGAGTTACGCTGGCTCACCTACCTGCTGACCGACTTGGGAGAGCGGCCTCGTTCTCCTCCAGTGCTGTACGTCGACAACAAGGCCGCCATTGCCTTGTGTGAGGAGCACAGACTGAAGCACAGAACGAAGCACATCGCTCTGCGTTACTTCCTAGCTCGAGAGTTGCAGCAGCGGGGTCAGCTTCGTCTTGCTCACGTGGCCACTCGGGCCAACACTGCTGATATATTCACCATGGCGCTTCCGTCTGGTGATCATCAGCGCTTTTGTACTTTGTTGGGCCTTGTGCCTACGTTTCCACACTTGCTGTAGACTCTGCTTGTACTGTGATTTATATATATATATATATACCTGCATGCGTGCTCTTGCTAGGTAGTGATCACTGTGCTATTGCTGCATATACATCTCTGCATGTGAACTGGCCTTGTGGCCTCTTGCTTGTGCTCAGTGTGTGTGGTGACTTTGTGATCCACCCTGAGCTGTGTTTTGTTTCTTCTCTTGACTGATCTTGTGACCTTTGCTTGCTCTGGCTATCCCCCATTTCGCCTATGGGGGTGTGTCAAGTTATATTTATATGTTATGTTTAGGTTGTCTAGGCTATATGGGGGTTAGCACTAGGGGGTACAATATTTCTCTCGACATTCTTCTTGTACCCCCCCTTGACCCAATCAATGACACAACTTCATGCCTAAGATTATAAGAGCAGCCGCTTTTTTCAGTTACCCTAGGCCAAAAAGTGTAAGTTTTTTGTTACCCTTTGAAAAACAGCGTAAGGGACTAGTTTCTCTGACTGTACAGGGTACGTCACAACTACACTAATACCGAATACTCTGTAGCGAGAATAATTCACCATTCGAGTCCCTGCAAAATACTCCCAACAGCAAGAATCGAACAAGCGACCTTATAGATCAAAGTTATAATCTAAACTCAGGCACTAAGTGCTAAGCAAAGTATCTCTGTCTATCAAAGAGCAACGTACACCAGAAGAGTTACCCTGCCCAAACAGACTATTGGTTTTTTTGCCCTGTATTTGTCAGGGAACGAAATTTTTTACCCTATGAGTCAGGGTTGGGACTACCTAGAACCCTGATTAGAAAGGGTGGCCCAAAACTTATCGAGGGTGAATTCGAGTGTCGAGAGAGTTGGTACAAGAGGAAAACCCTAAGGGGTTATACCCCACACTATCTACCCCACTACAGCCTAGCAATAACACTAACATATATATATGTTTGACAGTCCTAGATTCAGTGTGGCCCTCACTTTCGTTGGGCACATCAGACCACTTCAAGCCCTGCGACTCCATGTTACTGTTGTTCCGTTCAAACAACTATCGCAGCAGCAACATGTGCCTACCACGAGCACGATCAAGAGCACGGAATTGCACATGGTTCTAGCCTTGTGAATCTAAATAGTTGTATGTTGTTCCAGGTGCATGGAAAATGAAATGACGGTTACATCATTGTGTGTTTGTTAATTACAACATTCTCTGGTGTCTAAGCATTCTCTCGATGTAAGCATTATTTCGAAGTACACTTGAAGCACTCGTTAACCGAATATTCTTGTAATCGCGTCGACACAAGCACAAGCTTTGTTGGCAGCAGTTTTGGGATTTTCAGGAGGGTAGGTCCAGCGCAGGTCCAGGTGTCCCCGCCTTCGCGGACATATTGGAGGTATCTCCATTCCTATTCGCCAGAATGTCGGTCGACTTTTCGCCTGCTGCCATGCCTTCCGCTGTATCCAATCAGCACCGTCGAAATGGCGAGCGCTTCGAGACTTTCGCACAGCTGTCCTGCGAAAATAGGGCCATTTCGCTGGGACTCGGATATACCTCAACTTCATGGGCCTACTTCACGGGCTGGGGCGGGAAGGACTGAAGAAATCGAGGGTTGGGGGAAGAATCGAGGGCGGCTGGAGAAATCCAAGGGTGGAAGAAACTCGAAGCACCTTTCTGCATCACGCGCCACTAACTAGTTCCTTTCCTCCAACTCTTGTTATTGTCGACCTTACGTCTCCCAACGTTCTCAGACTTGCTTCTCTTTCTTCTCCCTCCTACCAGCCTCCACGGCGGCGTGGCATCGTTTCTTGCTCGCGCGACCCTTGTTTTCAGTTGATCGAGGTCACCCTCGTGCGATCGCCGCGTTTTGAAGCACCCCATAGTGTACATTGTAATCCACGTCTTTGAACGTACCTCGGAACCACACCTCCTCTCACTCATCACCGCGGCGCGTCCGCACGAACTTATAGTAGTCGTGATCCACATCATCATAAGAGTACTCGTTACGAACGAACCGCGCCGAACCGACACAATGAGCCGACAGGTCGCACGAGCCCTGCTGGGCAGAGCAGAGCCTCTCCTGCAGCGCCACGTGGCGTGCAGCGGAGGAGCCAGCAGCCATGCAGTAACTAGTTACATCGGTAACGGTCACCGCCATGCGTGCGGCCGCGTCAAACCCCCAGTGCTGCCCGTCAATGTCAACCCGATGCTGTCGCCTTCGTACGGCGCTCGGCGCTTCTCCTCCTCCGCCTCCGCCGAATCCGCTCCGAAGCACAAGCCCGACCTGGTCAGTATCTTATCTTGATCTACTCGGGAAGGATGCGTTTCCCTTTCGCACAACATTCCAAATCGGATGCATTCCCTTTCGCGTAAGTGCCCAGGCTGGAAGCTCCCCTTTCTTTTCTTACATCTTTCTTCCGTTTCTCGGCAATGCAATGCCGTTCCTCCCCCGCAGTGCTCTTATTGCCCCTCCTTTCATTGCCGTTCCGTCCACTTGTTATGTAAACCGCCCCTCCTTTCACGCAACTGATCCGCCGGAATCGTTCGGTTATCTGCAGGTCAGCCAGAGGCGTTGGAATCGTCACCTTGCTGCGAACCCGCCATTTATCCGCCGTTCCTGTTTCTACCTTTTTTTCCGGTTTCACATTCTTTTCTTCCCCGCAGCTGCGCATTCTCGCCGCGTGCGCGCTCGGATCGGGTGCCACCGCGGGCGTTGCGGTATCCATCATGGATCCCAAGACCTTCAGGTGCGACTCGGCCAACGTCGTAAACAGGTTGCACCGCTACTGTGATGGCTTTCAGCGAGTAATGTATCGCCACGGCTGCAAAACGTTAGGAGCTTAAACAATGCTGTTACCCTTTTCCTTCACAGGGTTGAACCTCGTGCTTCCTCGCATCTCTTGCGTTCTCTTTTCTCCCCCTGTGGCTCCCCGTGTTTCCCCCTTAATGCTCACAACAGCGCGCTCTCCTTCGCGGCAACGGATTACATGACGCCATTCATCCGCCTGCTCGACCTCTCGTTGAGGATCTTTTTTCACCCTCCTTCCCCATGCCCCCCATATCCCTTCCCTCCATACCCCCCCCATGCCCTCCCCCACACCCCAGCGCGCTCTCCTTCGCGGCAACGGACTACATGACGCCATTCATCCGCCTGCTCGACCCCTTATTGAGGCTCCCTTCTCCATCTCCCCCTTGTTTCCTCCCCCCATGCCCACCCCAGCGCGCTCTCATTCGCGGCAACGGACTACATGACGCCATTCATCCGCCTGCTCGACCCCTTATTGAGGCTCCCTTCTCCATCTCCCCCTTGTTTCCTCCCCCCATGCCCACCCCAGCGCGCTCTCATTCGCGGCAACGGACTACATGACGCCATTCATCCGCCTGCTCGACCCGGAGACGTCGCACCAGCTGGCGGTGCTGTCGGGCGAGTGGGGCCTCACTCCACGCGACTTCCGCCCCGACCCGCCCTCCCTTGCCACCACGGTGTGGGGGCGGCGCTTCAGCAACCCCGTGGGCATGGCGGCGGGGTTTGACAAGGATGCGCGCTGCGTTGACTCCATGTTCGCCCTCGGGCTGGGATTCACCGAGATCGGCAGCGTGACTCCACTGCCGCAGCCTGGAAACCCCAAGCCAAGATGCTTCCGCCTCACAGAGTAGAAGTGAGCCCTAAACCCGAAAGCCTGACCAAACCCCTAACACTAGAGGGCTTTGACAAGGACGCGCGCTGTGTTGACTCCATGTTCGCCCTCGGCCTGGGATTTACTGAGATCGGGAGTGTGACTCCCCTCCCGCAGCCAGGGAACCCCAAACCCCGTTGCTTCCGGCTCACAGGTCCTGTTTCCTCCAATCACCTAGCAGAAGTTTGTGAATTGCTTGAAGCCCGAAACCCAAAACCGTGAAGCCTGAAACTGCTGGGGAGAAGGGCCGGACTGGGAAAGGCTGGTCTACTCCCTTGATTCGCTCTCCCGTCGTGTTCTCCCATGTTCCACCTCCCCCATCCGGACCCCGCCGCAACAACGGGGCATTGCTGACGTGGTGTGTTGATCCTTGTTCCTATCGTCCCTCACTTCCAGCATCATCCTGTCACCTTCCTCTTGCTCGCTCTCCCCCATCCCTAAACCCTCGCTCCCATCCAAACCCGCTTCCCCCATCCCTCCCTTCCCTCCAGAGCTGTGATAAACCGGTACGGCTTCAACAGCGCAGGAATCGCTGACGTGGCGGAGAGGCTCGGCGCGTGGCAGGCTCGGCGGCAGCAGCAGGCAGCGCAGGAGCAGAAACGGGCAGCGAACGGGCAGGCTCCAAAAAAAGAGAACGTGGTGGAGGAGAGAGTGAGGGACGGAGTGCTGGCTGTGAATCTGGGGAAGAACAAGACGAGCGAGGATGCGGCAGGGGACTATGTGAAGGGCGTGCACGCGCTGGGGCAGTTTGCAGACGTGCTGGTGGTGAATGTGTCCTCCCCCAACACGCCCGGCCTGAGGAAGCTTCAGGGAAGGTCGCAGCTGCAGGAGCTGCTGCAGCGGGTGAGTGAGTAGGGGGGGGAGGAGGGAGGTGGGGGAGGGGGGAACGGGGTGGTGGGGGGAGGGGAAAGGAGCCAGAGAGGGTGCGGGAAGGAGTGTTGGCGGTGAACCTGGGGAAGAACAAGGCGAGTGGGGGGTGAGTGAGAGGATGCGGCAGGGGACTATGTGAAGGGCGTGCACGCGCTGGGGCAGTTTGCAGACGTGCTGGTGGTGAATGTGTCCTCCCCCAACACGCCCGGGCTGAGGAAACTGCAGGGCTGGTCGCAGCTACAGGAGCTGCTGCAGCGAGTGAGTGGGTTCATTTAGGGAAATGGAGCAGTGGGAGAGGGAGTGGAGGGGGGAGGGAGGCGGTGGGCACTGGGATGAGAAAGCTGCAGGGCCAGTCACAGCTGCAGGAGCTGCTGCAGCGGGTGAGTGGGTTGGGAAGGCGAAAGGCAAGCAAGGGGGGAGTGGCGGGGTGGGTGGGAGTGGGGCGGGAGATAGTGGGGGTTAATTGAGTGGGGGGTGAGTCCCTCACCACCGAACACCTGTCCGATATTGCTGCTGTTCAGGTGGACACTAAAGTCACCTCACCTCCCTGCCCTCACCACTCTCTGTCCCTGCCAGGTGCAAGCAGCGCGGAACGAGATGGAGTGGGGCAAGGAGGGTCCGCCCCCTCTGCTGCTCAAGATTGCCCCTGACCTCACCACTGAAGACATGTCGGATATTGCTGCTGTCGCCCTCTTCCTCAAGATTGACGGACTGGTACGTTAATCAGCGAGCTTATAGTGAGGATGGAGTGATTTTTTAGATTCTTTGGTGAAATCAGCCCCTGATCTGACCAGAGAGAACATGTCGCATATTCTGGCTGTCACCCTCTTTCCCAAGATTGACGGACTGGTGTGCTAGCGAGTGAGCTTATAACGAGCATGGAGTGCCCGGTAAGTGGTGTTTCTGTCAAAAGAGAAAGCTTTTCTCGTGGTTTAACTCCACTTTGTGGTCCCGCGATAGACTTTTAAGTTGACTAAAGAAAATAGTGACTGTAGGCCGTGCAGGAGGCCTCCCTGTTTCTTTCGCCACCCTCCCCGTCACCCCACCAACACCCATCCTCCCGCCCTTACCGTGTGAGGAGCACGTACGAACAGGAGGATCGTGGGCCCACCAACACCCTCCACCATTTCACGCCCTGACAGCATCGTGGGCCTTGTGAATGTGGAGACCTTCTCCAATATCTGCACCCCAACCCCTCCCCACCGCCCTCCATCCCTCCCCACACCCACCAGGTGGTGAGCAACACGACCATCTCCCGTCCTGACAGCATCCTGGGTCTGGTGAATGCGGATGAGGTGGGGGGCCTCAGCGGCAAGCCTCTTTTTGAGCTCTCCACTGCTGTGCTGCGCCAGATGTACTCGCTTACTAAGGTGCGCAAATTCTAATGGAGGTGAAGATCCTTGTTCCCTACTCTACTAAGACTTTGTGTCTAAATGCTATAATATACACAAATGTTATACAAGATGTACAGTTGATGTAGTATACACATATATAGAAATAACTGTTCAATGACAGATGTTATACTCTCTGCATGCATTTCCTTGTGCTGTTTTTCATTCCATTTTCTAGCAATGGCTTTTGTACCTTTCTTTCCCAACCTCTAGTCCTTGCTTCTCCCATCATGTCTGAACAAATCCCCATTATAAACTGTGGTGGCATCTACAAGTCCCCCCCCCCCCCTCCTCCCCTGCACTCTCCCTCCCTTCATCCCTCACAGTCAATCCCTCTAAGCCTACCCTCCTCTCTCGCCCTCTCCTCCCTCAGGGTCAAATTCCCATCATCGGCTGTGGTGGCATCTACAGGTATCTACTTCCTTTTCCACCATCCTAATCTCATTTCTCTCTCCATTCTCCCTCCCACGCTCCTACACTCTCCCCCCCTCTCCTACATACTCTGTTTTCTCTCCCCAGCATCTTCCCACCTGTCTTCCATACCTCTTCCTCCCTACCCTCCCACCCCACACCCCCCTTCTCTCTCCCCCTTCTCTCTCACTCTCATCCAAGTGACACCCCTACCCCAACACCATAAGATCTTCGCCTCTCGCTATCCCCTGAATCAACTTGTGCTATTCATTTCCTCCAGTCTCCGCTATCCCAACCCAGCCTTTTCGAACGTCTCATGACTTACTTTACCCCCTAAATCAATCTTTGCTTTCCATTTCCCTCTTTCTCCACCATCCCATCCCAGCCAAGCCACCTCATGAGCAATTCATGTCTGGCTTCTTTCTTATAAAGCGGTTCTCATTGATGTCTCTTTCATTGTTCCCATCATTCCCCTGCGTCCCTGGTACAGTGGCGAGGATGCTTATAAGAAGATCCGGGTGGGGGCCTCATTGGTCCAGCTGTACACCTCAATGGTCTTCGAGGGAGCTGGGGTGGTGCCAAAAATCAAGTTGAGCGAAATCAAGTCAAGCTGAGTCAAGCCGAGCCAAGGCAGGTCAGCATGAACTTTGAGGGAGCTGGAGTGGTGCCGAAAATCAAGGTGAGCCAAACCAAGTGAGGGTGAGTCAAAGCAGGTCACCCTGCACTAGGGCTTACTGCCCTTTTCCTATACCTGGGCTCAAATTTCGGAAGCTACAGTGGCGTGGGCACTTGGCATTTAACCCAGCACTTCTGAAGGCTTAAGAAACTGCTCACTAGGTTTTTTTTTTTCACAAGCTGCTCACAACTCTCCTTCTCCATTCTCTTCCCTCCATTTGTCATCATCCCCTTCCCCCAACACTCCCCCCCCCCCCTCCCCGCCGCCGCCTATCCTTCCATCCCTAACTTGGACCCTCCCAATTGGCAGAAAGAATTGGCCGAATGCCTCGCTCGTGATGGATTTGCGTCAGTGGCAGACGCTGTGGGGGCGGATCACAGGGAGGCAAGCAAGGGATTGTAGCATGCAAAACTAGAATGTACCACCAAACAGGGGTTCAATAGGATGAGCCCTTTTGAGTATGTCCAATAAATGCGATAGCCAGACAGAATTGATGCATGTAGTGATGTAGCCTGGACTATTGAAAGTGTGATTAGCGTAAATCACTGATGGGCATCAGCAGTTCACTTATGGCTCTTTCTGTGGAATGAAGACTATTGCTAAATCTGCATTCTGATACAGATGCTTATGACATTTTTGTTTCTTAGGGAGGTGAAACTGCATGATATAAAGACTATTTATAACGAGTACACTCAAATTGTGGGAAGCGGCGCGACCTCGTTCACCTTCTTCCAAGCAGAGCGGGAGTACAAGCGCCTGAGCCACGCCTTCAAATTTGGGCGGGAATCAAACAGATCCCCAACCCCCGCCGCCTTGAGATGCTCAGTGACTGGCAGATGTGTCAGATCCGCGAGAGTGAGGGAGTCGCCCACGAGATACTCCCGCCCTTCCAGATGCTTCTCGTAAACATCGAGGATCTTCTCCAGCTGCACATCGCAGGAGACGGAACGAACGAGAGACAGGAAGGGTAATGAATGTAGGAACGTCACACGACGCCACGAAATAACTAGTAGTAGACAGTCATGGTCAGCTAGTTTCTCCAGCATTTGCACATGGCCTAACCAAGTTAAAAATTTCTCCTCCTTTCCTTCAAAAAGAGATGTCGTAAGGCAAGCAGTAAGTTGCAAGAAGAGATGTTGGTGTCTCCAGATTCTTCAGCCATGGACGCATCATGTCGCAACAGAAACCGGCGACCCCTCACCTTTTTCGTCGCCGCGGCGAGCTTTTCTTCGTCAGGCTCGCCGAGCTGACGAAACCTCTTGAAAACTCGTTCGAACGCGATCGTGATGGCCTCGGGGGTGTACGCGTTGACCTCCGTCTCAATCCACTGGTTCACGCGGCCTCGCTCCAACGCATCCTTTCCCAGCAGGTTGACTCCGCGTTCCGCGCCGTACTTGTCGGCGAGGTAGCGCATGATGGCTCGTGACTCTGTAATTGGGAGAGCAACGGCACGACAAGACACGTCAGAGCTTTGCGATCTGAGAACAGGCTGGCCCCACCCACAGCAGTGCTTATTAGGTAGCACGTGTAAGTGATGGTAAACAGAGCTATGTGGGGATGGGTCCGTATATCACCCGACGACACCCAGCTCAGTTCTCAGGGCCGTATCATCCGTCACCCAACCCAGAAACCCGAAACCTTCCCCGAATCCACTTATCCCAGATGCATTTGCCGTGGGCTTTTAGCACTGCCTTCGCAAATCTTATGTCGGTCGAACCAAACCCAAGGTACACCTTCTTCAAATCCACCTACCCCAGATGCACTCGCCGTCGTCTTCAAGCAGAGGCACCTTTCCGAAGGGCTGCTTCGCGAGGTAAGCGGGCGTGCGCGCCTCGCCCTTGGGGGCGTTCACCTGCTCCCACTCGTAGTCCTGCGCGCGCGCGGGGGTGGGGAGGAGCGGGAGGGGTAGGGGGGAGTTGGGGCAGGGGGGAGTTGGGGCGGTGGCGGGGGCGGGGAAGAACAGGGATGGGGGAAATCGTGAACGAGAGACCTGATGTGATGTTACAAGACGCATCGCTCTCAGGAACCTGCACGTGCCCTCACTCGTAGTCCTGCTTCTGGAAACGGAGGAGTGGGAACGTAGCGAAGGAGTAGTGGGAATGTAATTCGGACTCTTTTTGAAAGGAAAATCAGTCGTAATTCGCTTGTCCACTTGCTTCCACTCGTGGATTTGCTCAAGAGGGTGTGTACAGGAAGGGGACAATGTGGGATTTTTTGGGGGGGAAAGGGGGGGAGGTAGGTTAGAATGTAGGCGAAATCTGACCTTGCTTTCAGTTGTGTCAGTCCATGCATTGATCTGATACATCTCGTGTGGGGATGTCCTGGCGTTACACCTCATCATCCGCGCAGGGAAGGTGTAAAATATGCCAAAAATGGCAAGCTTATATCGAGTTTAGACTCGATATAATCGGCCCGGCAGGTCGCACCTCAATGCCGAGTTCGTGCAGCGTGAGCAGAACGCGGCGGACGAAGGGCGAGTAGCCCATGCCGTAGAGCTTCAAGCCGGCCATCTGATCTGAACGCGCCGCGGCTCGGATCTGACGAGAGTAGTAATGCCCTTCACGTATAGAGCTCAAACTCGATTTGAATGAGGTTCCTTGCTTCACAAGCAAACAAGACGTCGGTGATCGTTCTACTTGAATGAGCGCCGAGGAGAAAGGTGTTTGACGGTGCGACAAATAGAAGGTGTCACAAGCTATTTTCTTTCCAGAAGTTGATGTAGCTTTTTGTACCACCATCAGGCAGGGTGATGACATCATATCGGCAGTGGTCTGTCCCACAGTCCCAGCCCAGACGGACTGTCCTTGGTTAGGCGAATTTTCTTTTTTCCACCGCCTTTGCCAAGAGGAGAGGTATTTTGAAGTGAGGGGAGGTGAGAGGAAGCAGGCAAAGTGAGGTAACTCGATTGCTTGCGTCAGCGCGATTCGAGGGGAGGAACGCACAGCGAAGGCAACAACGGATCGACGCTGACGTTCGATAATAAACATAATTGTAGGTGTCGTAAAGAGCTATACATATCAGATATGCCTTACAATCTAAAATACCTTTGTCAGCTCATTGTGTCTGAAAACCACAGTCCTGATAATTTTAACGCAACATTATTCAACGCTTCCAGCATGGGCGAAACTCGGTCAGCATAGAACCCAATATCTTGAGGAGATGTGTCTCTTCCTGCTCTGCAAATTCAACCAAGGCTCACAATAAAAAAGGGAATCCCTCTACAGGATAATCATATTGTATTGATGCTGATTCGTTTAGTGCAATTCGCATGGAGCATGCGAATGATGAGAGGCTTGGCTGGTGTCGGCAGCTCCTGCCAGCTCCAGCTGAGGCTGAAACCCCTCCTCTTCGCCTCCACTACCTTCCGCCACACACCACTGTCACCACTGCTGCTTACGGTATTCCATTGCTACAACTGGTGCTTCTCCTCCACATTTCACACTGCTACCGCAGCTCACTTTGCTACTGGTGCCATTGCCAAAAAAGAGAAACGAGCTGCGGAGCATCATGAAGAACTCAACCCAAGCACTCCAGACATCCATGCACGACCATAGAAATAGAAGCATACCATGGAGCCATGTAGAATGGTGTGCCCACCACCTTTGATATTGAGTGTACCTAGCAGCCGCTCTAAATTCAGTCAGCTTGACTTAACAGCCATATCGTTATTTGAATGATGTTGTCGTGTTTGATGTTGCGGTGCATAATGGTGTGCGAATGGCAGTGCTGCAAGACCAACATGACCGATTGGGAAAGGGAGAACAAAGCAAAACAAGAGTGAGAGTGCTAGGAATCCGTCAGTAACATGTACAGGAAGCAAAAGAAGCATAACGTTGAGCGTGATAAGAGCAAGCCAGCAATGGCAACCGAAGGGCTTGTATGACACGTCAAGAGGCAAACGGATTTGGTTCAGGTTCAGAGGCATCAGGAGGGAACATAAGGTAGGGAGATCTGGGTGGAGTGGTCAGCGTGGGGAGGTCAGTGTGGGGAGGTCAGAGTGGGAAAATCAGAGTGGGGTGGGGTGTCAAAGGTCCACTGGTGATCCCCGATTGATCCTAGGGAAGGGTTACAGGCATGTTGGCCTGGGGGGTTATGGGCGCACTGACCCGCTACTTAACAAGCCTTTTTATCCCAGTGGTTAGTGGCTGGGATTCTGACATGGTATCAGAGCGAAGGCCTCGAGTTCGAATCCCAGTGTGTGCACTTCGGACATCCGAGTGCGGGGGGGTGTCAGAGGTCCACTGGTGATCCCCGATTGATCATAGGGAAGGGTTACAAGCATGTTGGCCTGGGGGGTTATGGGCGCACTGACCCGCTACTTAACAAGCCCTTTTATCCCAATGGTCTAGTGGTTGGGATTCTGACATGGGGAAGTCAGAGTGACAGGGAGACCCTGATGGCAGGGAGGCCCTGATGGCAGGTAGAGGCCCTACCTGAATGGCGGCCTTCCGGATGCTCTTGCACGCAGCAATTTCCCCAGTACTGCGGTGCACGCATCTACGTATCACACCATATTGCCCCCTGCCTA